GGGGGATGGGTTAGCCCGGTGATGGGTATTAAGGAGGGCACATATTGCATGGAGCACTGGGTGTTATATGAAAACAATGAATCATGGATCACTACATCAAAAACAAATGATGTATTGTACTGTGACTAACATAACCTAATAAAGTTAAATTAAATTAAAAAAAAGATTTTAAAAGAGGGGCAAAAAAGTTTTGCCTCTCCCTAATCAGTAATGATGTTGAGAAATTGTTCATGTGTGTTTGTGTGTGGGGGTGGGGGGTGGGGCAGAGAGAGAGGGAGAGAGAATCTTAAGCAGGTTCCATGCCCAGTGTGGAGCCTGATGTGGGGCTTGATCTGAGATCATAACCTGAGCTGAAATCAAGAGTGCCCCTAAAGATTTTATTTTTAAATTATCTCTACACCCAATGTGAAGCTCAAACTCACAACCCCAAGATCAAGAGTCACATGCTCTACTGACTGAGCCAGCCAGGCACCCCTGTATATCTTCTTTTATGAAGTATTGATGAACTCTTTTGCCCATTTTTATTGGGTTGCTTATCTTTGTTCTCAAGTTGCAGAAGTTCTTCTATCCTGGATATGAGATCTTTGTCAAATATATATATACACACACAATATATATGTATATATACACATTTATTTATATATATATATGCACATGTCATTTATATATATATGCACACAATATATACATTCTCTCTCCATACGTGTATGTATATATACACACACATATATAGTAAATGTTCTTTTCCTCAGTCTGTGACTTTTTTTAAAAATTGAGGTATAATTGACATACAAGATTATATTAGTTTCAGGTGTATGGCATAATGATTTGATATTTGTATATACTGCAAAATGCTTACCACAATAAGTCTAGTTAACATCTATCACCACAGAGTTACAGGTTTTTTTTCTTGTTAAGATAACTTTTTTTTTTTTTAAGATTTTATTTATTCATTTGAGAGAGAAAAAGCAGGGGGAGAGCAGAGGGAGAGGGACAAACAGACTCCCTGCTGAGTGTGGAGCCTGACACGGGGCTCAATCCCAGGACCCAGAGATCATGACCTGAGCTGGTCAGACCCTTAACCAACGGGCCACCTAGGGACCCCTTGTTAAGAGAACTTTTAAGATTTACTCTCTTAGCAACTTTCAAACACACTGTACAGTATTGTTGTCTAATGCTCACCACGCTGGAAAATATGGAACAATTCATGTATTTGTGTGTCATGTTGGTAAGGGGGCCATGCTAATCTTTTCTGTATTGTTCCATTTTAGTATATGTGCTGCCAAAGTGAGCAGCCCAGCTGACTTTTAAAAATGCTGTCTTTTGATGAACAGACGGTTTTAATTTGGATGAAGTCCATTCTATCAAACTTTTATACTCAGTGTTTTCTCTGTCCTAAGAAATCTTTGTCAACTCCAAGGTCACAAAATAATTCTCATGGGTTTTCTTCTACAAGCTATACAGTTTTAGCTTTAGTTTTTGTTTAGGTCTGTGATCCATCCTGTGTGGGTGTGTGTTGTCTATAATTTTAGATAAGGGTCAAGATTCCTTTTTTTTCCCCATTGAAGATGCATTTCCTTTCTGCACTGAATTATTTTGTACATTAAAAAAATCAATTCCTTGTGTAGACGTGTGTCTATTTCTGGCTTCTTTATTATCCTGTTTCATTGATCTATTTGTCTCTTCTTAAACTAAAACCACATTGTCTTGATTACCGTAACTTTATAGTCTTTAAGTCTTGAAATCAAATAATGTAAGCCTATTTTGTCTAAGTGTGTACCTCTGCTCCCTTTTGGTTCCATTTGCATGGAATATCTTTTTCCATTCCTTCGCTTTTAGCTTATGTGTATCCTTAAAGTAGAAGTGAGTCTCTCTGTTAAGCAGCATATACTTGGGTCGGTTGTTGTTGTTGTTGTTGTTGTTTTGGTCCATTTAGTCAATGTCTTTTGATTGGAGAATTTAATTCATTTACATTTAAAGTACTTACTGATAAGTAAGGATTTACTAATGTCATCTTATTAATTGTTTTCTGGTTCTTTTGTAGTTCTTTTGTTCCTTTCTTCTCTTGCTATCTTTCTTTGATGTTTTGGATGTTTTTCCATAGGGTTATGCTTTTTTTAAAAAATTTTTTTAGGGACGCCTGGGTGGCTCAGTCAGTTAAGCATCTGCCTTTGGCTCAGGTCATGGTCCCAGGGTCCTGGGATCAAGTCCTGCATCGGGCTCCTTGCTCAGCAAGAGCCTGCTTCTTCCTCTGCCTGCTCTGCCTGCCACTCTCCCTGCTTGTGCTCTCTCTCTCTGACAAATAAATTAATAAAATCTTTTTTTAAAAAAAGATTTTTTAAAAGTAATCTCTATACCTGATGTGGGGCTCAAATTTACAACCCTGAGATTAAGAGTCCCACATTCTACCGACTGAGCCAGCCAAATGCCCCTACAGTGGTAGTCTTTGATTTCCTTTTTTTTTTCTTTTGTGTATTTACTGTAGGTTTGTGCCTTGTGGTTATCATGAGGCTTACATAAAACATCTTATAGTCTATTTTAAGTTGATGACTTCAATTGCATACACAACCTACCCTTTTCTCTTCCCCCCAATTTTGTTTTTGATGTCATAATTTACATCTTTTTATATTGTGTATCCATTGACAAGTTATTGTAGCTATAGTGATTTTTTTAAAAAGATTTATCTATTTATTTTATTTTATTTATTTTATTTTTAAAGATTTTATTTATTTATTTGACAGAGAGAGACACAGCGAGAGAGGGAACACAAGCAGGGGGAGTGGGAGAGGGAGAAGAAGCTTCCCGCAGAGCAGGGAGCCCGATGCGGGGCCCGATCCCAGGACCCTGGGATCACGACCTGAGCCGAAGGCAGATGCTTAACGACTGAGCCACCCAGGCGCCCCAAGATTTATCTATTTATTTTAGAAAGAGAGAGAGGACGCGCATGAGTGGGGAGAGGGGCAGAGGGAGAGAATCTTCAAGCAGACTCTGTGCTGAGCACAGAGCCCAAGGTGGGGCTTGATCTCACAACCCATGAGATCATGACCTAAGCAGAAACCAAGAGTCTGACACTCAACTGACTGAGCCAGCCACCCAGGTGCCCCACTATAGTGATTTTTAATACTTTTGTCCTTTAATCTTTGTACTAGAGTTAAGTGATTAACACACCACCAGATTACAATATTAGAGTATCCAGATTACAATACTAGAGTATTCTGAATTTGATTATATACTTACCTTTACCAGTGTGCTTTATATTTTCATATGTTTTCTGTTATTAATTAGCCTCCTTTCATTTCAGCTTGAAGAACTCCTTTTGGCATTTCTTGTAAGGCAGGTCTAGTGGTAAGAGAGATGAACTGTCAGCTTTTGTCTGGGAAAGTCTTTTTCTCCTCTTCATTTCTAAAGGACAGCTTTATTCTTGGTTGGCTGTTTTTTTCTTTCAGCACTTTGAATATATCATCCCTCTGAATATATCACTTTCTCATGGCCTGTTCTGCTGAGAAATTTACTGATAGCCTTGTGGGGATTCCCTTGTATGTGAGAAAATTTTGCTCTTATTGCTTTTAAAAGTCTTTATCTTTTTTTTTTTAAAGATTTTATTTATTTGAGAGAGAGAGACAGAAATAGTGACAGAGAGCATGAGTGGGGAGGAGAGGGAGAAGCAGGCTCCCCACTGAGCAAGGAGCTCAATATGGGGCTCGATCCCAGGACCCTGGGATCAAGACCTGAGCCAAAGGCAGATGCCAACCGACTGAGCCACCCAGGTGCCCCTAAAAGTCTTTATCTTTGATTTTCTTTTATTTTATTTTTTATTTTTATTTTTTTTAAAGATTTTATTTA